GAAAGAAAGCAATACTTTTAAAAAGAAACTGCATAGAATGTTATCTGAAGTTTGCAACAATAATTTTCTTGCATGATGACAGAGTGGACAAAAAGTATGTTGGTAGCAGTACTAAGGCATATGGTGTCTCTACATCTACATGGACATTTTCAGTTTGTGCAAAAAGAAAAAAAAAAGGGGGGGGGGGGGGGGAAAAAATGGCAAATTATAAAAAAAAGTCATGAAATGTTTCAAAGGTTGCAAAGGTGACAGTGTTATGGTGACTTAAAGGTTCACTGAGGAGACTACAAATAGTAGAAGACCAAATCAGATCTGTGTGGAACAGAGAGGATAACACTCCTCAAATTAATACACAAGGCGGACAACAAAGCCCGAGTGTTTTTTTTTTCTCACAAACTAAGATGATCTAATTCAAGCTGATGGTTATGACTAAACCCCATAGTGCCATTAAATTAGCCTGGTGTTTTTATGTTGCCTAACACTGAGGAGATCCTCAAAAAACAAACAAAAAAAACCTTAAATTGGGAGCTCCTATAATTTACTACTCGACCAAACTCGCCTTATTTGTGTTTCCACCAGTCAAATGTTGGGGACAGTATCTGGTAGCTGCTACTATTTTTTTTATTACCTCCGCTCCAAGTGAGCACAGACGATACCAAATGGTGACGTGTAAACACTGCAGACTAGCGACTGGTCAGAGAAATCGCGTTATCAACGTGTGAGACATCCTTGAACAAAGAAAGTTACATTTTTTTAATGTAATGTTATTTAATGCTAACTGCTGCTTTACGGCAGTTACTGTACTAACTAAGAACAGCCACATACTGAGAATCAAGCACAGCATACCTTCGATGTTCTTCATTGTTACTGTGTTGGTGGCTGATGACATCATGGCAGCGTAATGCTATGTCGCTATGACAACCAGCTACACTGAGAGGGGACCATTTGCAGTGGAAGACTAAGCACCCGATACCAAAAGCGAGTAGAGTTGAGTTGAGCTGAGCCGAGCCGGCACCAAGCGATGGAAAAGGGGCTTATGTCAGGGGTCTGGCAGGTTTGGGTCCCCACAGTGTGATGTTAACCAGCCTCCTGCATTTGTCCAGGATATTTATAAGGTAGTGTGTGTGTGTGTGTGTGTGTGTGTGTGTGTATAGAGCTCCTGTGTTTTCTGACTTACAGTAACAGGTCTGTTTCTCTATCAGCCAATAAGCCAGAGCCTGAATAAACACACACACAGCTCTGAATGAAAACACAGGGAGCAATTTATGAGCTTCAGTGTTTGTATGTTTTTAAAGCATCCATAAGTAAACAGTGTCTTTCAGCACACATCCATCACTTCACTTTATTCTCTTTCTGCTTAAGTATAAAAACACATATTTGGAATAATTTCAAGACTAAACTAAAAAGTAGTTTGTAATAATATTACCCTTAACAAGAAGCAAACTTGAAATGTTTTCTTGGGCTGAACCTCACAGGACTCCATGAAGCATCTAAAAGGGAATCACACCAGGGTTTTATAACTGCAAAAAAAAAAAAAAAAAAAAGGTTTAAAACAACCTTCCAATGAAGCTGAAAAGCAGTTTGCTAGAAGTTCCCTTAAATTTTTACCATAAACCAAAAATGACATCGCAAATCCAAACACACAGTTCATTCCTTTCCGCTTCTTTTAGATCTCTCTTTTCGAACTTAAGTGACAGTGTCAAATTAGTTCAGAGGTATTTTTCTTGTGCTTCAAGTTAGCCATAGATTTAAGTGTTTCCTTAACATTCAAATCACTTCATATATCAGGACACCTTAATGTCTCCTTCATCCTCCTCCTCCAATAAATTCTTAATATCTTATTTAAAGTTATTTAAAGATTCTGAAAATTAGCTTTTCCCTTCACCGTCCAATTTTCTTATACCTTTATAACCTTCAAAATACTTTAACAAACAAAATGCCTGCTTCTTTGTTTGCTTTAATTACTTATCTTAAAACTGCATTAACCAGGTTTCTACCACTTGGAGGTTGATTTCCACAGCTAAACATTTCAAACAAGCACAGGGCACATTATCACCTTCTGAAACTGACATGGCTAAACATCATTATCTCACTGTGTTCCTGTTTGTGTGCAACTGCCAAATACAATTCCACGATTCACTCTCTCTTCAGGTGTGCATTGGTTTGAAACAATTCCTGAAAAACACGTCGGGCTCTTTAGCTGCTAAATGTTTCATTTCACTTATTGATTAGTGCAGCTTTAAGAGGGAAA